GCTGGAGGTTGTTAGGTTGGATACTGCTTGCTTGTGTACACGGGAGGGATGTACCATTAGACCGAAGTGTGCCTCGTGTGGCGTTATTGCGGTCGACTAGGAGTCTGGTAATAATTATTCTAAAATTGTACAGCAATTGAAGGCAGATATTAACGGCAGATATTGGCAGAATAAAGTCAGGAATACGTATGCAATTAGGGCATTGTGAATCTGTGGAAGACCTCTAAATGGGGCGACTCCTTAGGAGTGGGCCATAAATCCTTGCAACGCGTTAGGTGTGTTGTCAGGTTGGTTCTGGGAACCATGAGGTGGACGGTTATATTGTAAGCTATTCTCATCTTATAGTCGACGGGGTATTTGCATGGGGTAGCCGCTCATATGATATCCATAACTTACGGCAGCATAAAGTTAGCAGGGGATAAATGGACAATGATTTAGGCACAATGCAGGGTTACTTAGGGCGTGGTAGGCCACAGTTAGCTAAAGGCTAAGGCTAATGTTAATGTTAAATGCTGGAGTGTGGGTCATGCCACATTATACATAGCGGCTAATGCTAAATGCTAAGGTTAAATGCTAATTGTGTTGCGTGCTACATGCTAACGTGTCCTTAGAGGTCCCATTGCGATGGATTAAAGCCTCTTAAAATATGTCTGTGTGTGTAGAATTCAGAGTTCTACGCAAATGTGAGCTCTGTTATGTGTAATTGTTCGATTATAAGGTATAAAATAGTGAAGTGTTTTTACAAGATAAGGGATTGATTGATTGGATTACTATTGATTCTGAACTGAATGAAAGTCGAATTTAGCCGCCATAAAAGACAAAGGAAGTGGGAGGAGCAATAAAGAAGCAAGGGACAGTCTAAAATAATAATAATAAATAAATAAGGGATGGCAATTGGATGATAAATTACCAATATTACCTAAGTGATTGTTTAGGTAGGTGGTAATATTGACACATGGGCAAAACATGTGTCAAAAGGGGGATGGTAGGAGATGGTAGGATTAAATAATAAATATATACGAAGGAGAAGACAAAATACTTTAAACATTTTTTTGATACAGTCTAGAAAGAGAATGCAGTCAGAAATAGAAATTGAGAGCTGAACACGTGTGAAGATAGTTTATTAACCACACCCGTATGTCAGAGGTTTTGTGCCCCACAGGTGAACTAAAGGAGAAGGTAACCCACTCTATCTAACCAGGTGACTGGTGAGCATCCAGTCCCTAAAGAAGAAAAACTGGAAGCAGGCCTGTTGGGAAGGGCCCTATCAGGTTATATTGGTCACTGCCTTTGCCATTAGAATAGCAGAAAGAGCAACCTGGGTCCACGTTACCCACTGCAAAAAGGTAAGAACACATGCAAGCACCACTGAACACATGCAGAGTTAGAGAGAAGAACTGGACCAATAGGGTCTGGGGATCACCTCTGTTAACGAAGATCTCCTACCCCGACCTATCATCACTGTAGTGTGTTCTCAGGGTGTGAGTATGGGGTAGTACCAAGCAGAAAGACTGAGGACAGGAGAGGGTTGGCGGTTTTTGGGAATATGGATAACTTGAGTTGCATCATAGTCTCGGCAATGGTCTTGATATGTCAAAATCCACCACCAGTTGTGCTATGCCCTTACCATTGTTAAGAAGTAAATGAGAAGAGAAGCGACCCGACATACTGACCGTCAAGGACGAGTGGCCTACAAAATAGGAGTCAGAGAAGGGCAGATTGTCAGATTAGGAATAAGGGTTAGGGATGTAGCCAATGGGTGGGGTACATGTCAATAAACAACTTGGGATTATAAAATCTCATTATATTCGTGTTCGGCCCCCACGGCGGATTGTTCCTAGACTCAAGTGTTTAAACACACTTGGGGATGGGGATATGAGACTGAGGGGGACTGAACATCCAGATGGGGGGTAAAGAGAAACAAAGACATCACCAATTATCAATTGGAGATAGTAGTAATGTGATGGACTTAAGTTCGGAAGCACAGGAGAGAATTTTAAACCTTACAGCCCCTGTAACCGATGTGTGGTGGGCGTGTGCCAGTAAAGGCAGTATAAGGCAGAGAATTCCAAAAGGGTGGCTAGATACGTGCGCCCTGGTTCTACTGGTTCAGCTAGTTAGAATTAGTCACCAGGAACCAAGGATTAAACAGATGTAGGAGGAGTTTTAACAAGAAGGAGAATAGCCCTATTTAGATGGATGCGATTGGGATACCAAGGGGGGTATCGGATGGATACCGAGCTATGAAACAATTAGGGGAAGGGTTTACTACTACGTTCTTTTGGTGGGTGACAATAAGCGAAATTCTGGATTGGATTAATTATATCTATTACGACCAACAACGATTTATTGGCTGGACTAGGGATGCAACGGAAGGGTTCTTTGAACAATTATCCGCCATCTCACTCTTATGACTTAGTAAAAAGAGGTTGGCTCTAGATCAGGCAGAAAGGGGTGGTGTCTATAGAATGGTAAGCCATTGTTGTAAGTTTATCCCTAACAATACCAGTCCTGACGGGAGTATCTCTAAAGCCCTAGTTGGTTTAGATAAACTATCAGCTGAAACGAAGAGCATGGCTGGAATGGAGGGAAATGGACTGTTCTCCTGGGTGGGGGGAGTGGTTTGGTAAGTATGCTGCACTGGTGGTTACTGGATTTCTTACCCTAGTAGTTGTGTTTCTAATATTAATGTGCTGTGCTGCCTGAGTAATTCCTTGTCTGAGAAAGTCTGTTACAGATGTCGTGCATACGGCTGGTATGATGCCCCTCCTAGGGGCTCAAGAAGGAGATGCAGACACTGAGATGGGGTTGACAAAGGATGTACCTTGGTTTGCTATTGGTGAGGTGGTGGAGTGACACCCTAGTGGGTGCCAAAATGTACTTCCCTGTTTGTGTTTTATGCTTTATTAATCAAGTTAACCATTGTGAATGTTTGTCTTTCCTTATGTGAAGGTTTGAAGTTCCTGGGTGGCTGGTAGCCAACCTAGTAAAAGTTAGGTGTAGATGGAAGGACTGAAGGGTTTTTTATTATCATTATTGCCTATTAATAGAAGTGTGATTCTTTTTGTTTGTATTGTATTTTAATGAGTGACACCCTAGTGGGTGTCAAAAGGGGGAATCCTAAATTTCCCTGAAATGTCTTATTTTGGGTTTTCTTATTTTGGGTTCACACCCAGTGGGTGTGAAAAGGGGGATTGTGGGAAATTATTCTCTTATATTTTAGATGTGCTGTTAGCTTAATAAGAGAGCATTAATGATTAAACATAATAGGTTTGTACTGTACTGATATAGATTGTTTAATATAACAAGCTGTGATTAATGTGGGGAACCGTTAGGGGGTAGGCTAAGATAAGACTTGTGACTCACACGCACACACACTGCTTCTTTGTTAAACCGCTCAAGGACATGTGTTCTGCTACAAAGATGTCTGAGGTTGCTGACTCGAGACAAGTTGTAAAGATAACAACTATTGCCTGACAACAGTGGAGCGCCAAGGGGCTGGGTCCAGCCTGAGCGGCAGCGATAGGCTGGGTAAGTTTAAACCACGCCTAGCCTCTATTCTGACAGGCCCAGCAGGGAGCGGGAACTATCTCTGTCAGAGTATTTTAAGAAGAACTTATAACATTGGCTCAGTTCTCTGACTGCCCTGCGTGGTTTTTCAGTGGACCCGTATATACGAACATCATATTTACCATTGAAGTGTTTTGCATTAATTAAAATACTAGTCTATTTTAGAAGACGTGTATTGACCTCTTTTTGTTCCTATACCAGATTTGAATTGACGCAACTTAACACCACCATACTCCACTATTTAAACCTACAGTATATACCTCAGCCCAAAAGCCTGAAAGGACGGGACATGACCACTCAACACACCCTGTAACTCTTCTGACATCAAATCTGGTACATTTTGCAATCTTGACTGGAGGCTGCACTTCTCTTGCTCTGGACAGACAAGGGAGGCGGGGCCTATAATGACAGGTAGCTAATCAAACAACCATTTTTTTTTTTTTTTTATCTTTATTTAATTAGGCAAGTAAGTTAAGAACAAATTCTTATTTACAATGACGGCCTACACCGGCCAAACCCGGACGACGCTGGGCCAATTGTGCGCCGCCATATGGGACTCCCAATCACGGCCAATCATGGGTAGGACTCATACAAAACAAGCACTTAGTAGTGGGGTTGTTGACGTTGACGTTTCAATGAGCAAGGCAGAGGCAAAAATACATATATATATATATATAGTGATGGTGCAGAGATGGCAGGAGCAGTGGAATAGAGATAAGGGAATGCATTTATTTCAAGTACAGAGGAAAGTCGGGGAGGGGAGGACGGCAGGAAGGGACAGAAGAGAGGAGGCTATTTTTACAAGCTTATGGGTGGGACACATCCAGTTGAATAAGACAATACATGTGATAGGAAAGCATCCAACAGGAAAGTGTGATTATTGTCAGGAAACAGAGACCGTGGAGCATGTATTGCTGCAGTGTGGGCAGTATCAGAGGGAAAGCGAGAGGGTGAGATCTAGTATGAGGGAGAAGGGGATACAGTAAATTAGTTTAAAGAGTATATAGAGTAGAACGTCATTAGATATAGTCTCAAATATTTTGTTATCTTTTTTAAGAGCAACGGGGCTGGTAGGTATGATTTAGATTCTCCCTGTCGCTGGCCCACACTCCAGTACAGTAGGTGGCGGTAATGCACCATAACGTTGGATGCCAACCGCTCATAAACCCCACTGAAGAAGAAGAAGAACACGCGTGTCATTTCCTGATTCAGGGTCAATAACATGGTGCTGTCCATGGACTGGGTGATCCAATGATTTTAGTGGATATTTTCCTACGAGTGCCTTTTATTTCTATGATACTTAGCTAATCTTGTACAAGAGCTAATGCTGTGGCATTAGATTGTTATTCAATTGATTGTGTTCGTTGTTTTTCAACCCTCAAAGAGTATTGATCAAGTGTCCACCTCTGCTGCTACTCACTCAACTGATCATGTCGGGGACAAACGTGTGGACTCGCAGTCGGGAGAGGATGAGACGGTTCCCAGAGCTGTTTGCCCAGTGTTCTGGTGAGGTGCGTAACTACCAAACAAAAACACATGTACTGAAAAAATATGTAAACGCAACATGCAACAATTTCAACGATTTTACTGAGTTACAGTGGTCCTCTGTAGCTCAGCTGGTAGAGCACGGCGCTTGTAACGCCAAGGTAGTGGGTTCGATCCCCGGGACCACCCATACACAAAAAAAAAAAAAAAATGTATGCACGCATGACTGTAAGTCGCTTCGGATAAAAGCGTCTGCTAAATGGCATATTATTATTATTATTATTATTATTATATAAGGAAATCGATCAATTGAAATAAATTCATTAGGCCCTAATCTATGGATTTCACATGACTGGGCAGGAGCGCAGCCAGGTCCAGCCAATCTGAATGAGTTTTTCCCCACAAAAGGGCTTTATTACAGACAGAAATACTCCTCAGTTTCATCAGCTTTCCGGGTCACTGGTCTCAGACGATCCCGCTGGTGAAGAAGCCGGATGTGGAGGTCCTGGGCTGGCGTGGTTACACGTGGTCTGTGGTTGTGTGGTCTGCGGTTGTGAGGCCGGTTGGACGTACTGCCAAATTCTCTAAAACGACATTAGTTGGCTTATGGTAGAGAAACTAATGTTAAATTCTCTAGCAACAGCTCTGGTGGACATTCCTGCAGTCAGCATGCCTATTGCATGCTCCCTCAAGACTTGAGACATATGTGGCGTTGTGTGACACAACTGCACATTTTAGAGTGACTTTTTATTGTCCCCAGCACAAGGTGCACCTGTGTAATAATCATGCTCCTTAATCAGCTTCTTGATATGCCACACCTGTCTGGTGGATGGATTATCTTGGCAAAGGAGAAACGCTCACTAATCATGATGTAAACAAATTTGTGCCAAAAATTAGAGAAACTTTTTGTGCATATGGAAAATTTCTGTTATTTTATTTCAGCTCATAAAACATGGAATCAACACTTGACATGTTGTTTATATTTCTGTTCAGTATAGATGGGCACTGTTAGCCATACATGATCCAAAAGCATAAAGCCAAGTTAAGTTGTCATTCTGCCAATGTGAGAACTTGTCCCAGTGTTTCCCCTGCCATTGTATAACTGGGGCAGCTCACCAAGGAATTTGGCTTGTGGCCCTGTATGATGCTTTGGGGGGCCTCACTAAGAAAATGAAAAAAAGTGAAGGGGAAACACTGCCGTGAACAATAGATGTATCTATTGTGTGTTTCCGCAATCATCCTCCAATATAAATGTAATCTAAATACTGACTTCTGAATATCATATGTCCTCAGGCTGCAGCTTATGGGAAGTGTGTGACAGCTACTACCACAGGCAGACAGGAGCTGAGAAAGGACCTGTGTGTTAAAGAGTTTGATGCTCTGAAGACTTGCTTCGTTACAGCAGTGAGTGGCATATTACAGGTGTTCCATAATTATACATTTTGTCTGTCATTGATGTATCAATTCAATTGACTTGATCATCTTATTGTCTTGCAGGCCAAGAAGGGAGTGAAGTAGACCATTCTGCCCAACACATCTCTGCTGGTCATAGGTTGTATCTTCAACATAACCAGGGGTGTATTCATTAGGAACCTACCTGAATTTGTCCAATACAAACTCTCAATTACATTGTAAAACATTTTCGGTTTGCAGTCTGCACTAATGATTACACCCCAGGCAATGGACCCAATGTCCCCCATGTTCCATGAACATCAAGTAGTACTGTATCAGTAATGTGAAGGCAGGTGCTGAAAGCTATCTTGACTAGTCCCACAAGTTTAAGTTTGACCTGCTGGTTCCAGGGGTAATGCCAGCACGGTGTTTGGACACTCATTAATAGTACGTCAAGGTCATACCGTTTGACTATGTAGCCCGCTACCGAAGACTTGCAGGACAGTGTATTTATAATGTAATGTATAAATATGTGAATAAATTAATTGGTGTATGGAGTCTCTTTGGTTAATGTACACAACACACATTGACAACCAAAACGTAATATTTTGACATTTTCAGAAATGAGTTGACCGAGACTTAAATAAACTCTTATTCTAAAGAAGTCATGAGCAGTTCTGAAGCCACTGTCGATGTCCTCCCTCTGTGAAGTCCATTTCATTCACTGTCCTTATGGTATCCACAGCACAGGGCACCATTGTAGAAGTCCAAGCCCCTGTATCAAATGCTACAAGAAGAGAGAGCGAAAGATGACAACTAATTGCATAAACTATACCTGTACAAGTATTCACTGTCCTAGTATTTTGCTTCCATTCTCTCTGTCATTGCTAGAGAAGCCACTTTATTGGAAAAATGCACTCAAGAGTTCAGGAAAACGTACATTTACATCTCAATACAGGCATAAAGCTATTCACTTTGACCCATTAATTTCACCCCAAGTTAGGATAGAGGCACAAAGCAGTGGAGCCCCCACACACAGGATATGACAAAACAAAATAACCATATTCCTTTAAAGTCATGAAAAACATCACTGCTGCAGCACATGTATGTAAGGCACTGGCAGAGAGAGAGAAGAACCAGAACATGGAATGTAGAATCAGAGTTATGGATTCAGAACTCCTTGAAAAAAGATATCGGAATTGTACAGTATGTGTATGATAAGGCTACACATTTCTACACTGTTTTATTCTTCAAAAATAGAATTCTGTTTTCAAAATCAAGAGTCAAATTATCTGGAAGAAGCACTGAAGCTACCCAATTGATCCCTAATTAAATGTTCTTTGAATGTTTTCCAAAAATATGTAAAAACAAGCATGAAGACATTTAGCTACATGTCAGAGAACACCATTTACAGCTCACAATAACCAACATACATTGTGCTTAACAAAACAACCGCAAGTAATCTTTCCAGAGCCAAAATGAAAACTTAATCACTTAGAAGTATCAAGGGTTTTAAAATGACTAAAATACAAGTCACTGGATAGAAGGATAGCTGGTACATTGCGCTCTCAAACACAGGAAAAAAAGGAAACTCGGTATGTGGTATTGCATAGCTTAACATACATTCTAGTCCAAATCTCATCGCAGAGAAAACTAAAAATAAGTTAACATTTACATAAAAATATATTTTTAATAAAGGCTTTAGATTTATGGCAGCATAATACAGCATATTATTATAGAATAATATTCTACAACATATTCGATCATTGTTACAATATCTTTATCATCACTATTATACTGTATCTATCTTCTGTAATCATGGAAGGAGCACTAAAGAAAGCACTAGTATTTGGTAATAGAAGCCCACAGACTAGGGTCAAATGAAGACACAGAGGCTGCATTCACAAAGGCAGCCCAATTCAGATCAGATCTTTAGCCAACAATTGTGAAAAAGATCAGAATTAGGTTGCCTGTGTAAACGCAGCCAGAATGTTCCCTATCACATCAATGCACCTCACACACTCACACTCCTCCTGTACTGGTCAGGTATTGTGAAGGCAGGTGGTAAGGTAGTAGAGTGTGATCCACGGTACATTATTATTATGACTGTGTGTGGGAGAGAAAGAGTGTGTGTATGCGTTGTGATTAGTATGAATGAGTGTATAAGGTTAGCGCAGTCCGACCCAGTGTGTGTGTGTGTGTATAGGGTTTGCACAGTCTGACCCACTATGTGAGTGTTTTTGTGTGAATATACGGATTTGCACAGTCCAACCCAACGGTCCGTGAGTGTATGTTATACCGTATTCATGTGCGTGTATACTGCTACCCAGTTACTCATCTCTCTCAAACTCAGAGGTCTGTTTAATCTGGCGTGTGTGTACCAGTGCTCCCTCCAGTAGCTGTCCCTCAAGGGCTGCATGGAGATCCGACCCCCCCATGTCCAAGAAGGGCTCCAGCTCCAGCACACCCTCCCTGGACTCCCCTGCCCCTCCAGCACCTCCTACCCCCAGGGCTCTCCTTCTCCTCCTCAGGTCCATGTCTCCCTGGTCCCTGGCCTCATGGACCCCCTGGGGCTGGGCTTCCACAACATCCCTGGAGTTTGACTGGATGGCTGCCCTCTCCTTCAGGTCCCGTCCACTCTTCTTCACAGCCCCTAGTTCGACAGGTCCTGGCCCAGCTACAGCCAGAGCCTGTTCCTCCCCTGTTCCTCCCCTCTTTGCTCTCTCCATCACCTCTCTCTCAGTCTTCTCCTTCTCCCACTGGATCCTCTCTCGCTCCGCTTTCTCCTTATCTGCCCTCTCCCTCTCTGCTCGCTCCTTTTCCAGCCTCTCTTTCTCCGCTCTCTCCTTCTCTACTCTGGCTTTTTCCATCTCCTGCTCTCTCGCCAGTATTTCTCTCCTCTCCCTCTCTAACCGTTCCTTCTCCACTCTTGCCTGCACCTCTCTATCGATCCTCTCCTCCTCCAGGGTCTCTATCTTCTCCTTCTCCACTGCCTCTACCCTTCCTTTCCCTGGCCAGTCCTCAGCTTTAGCAGGTGGTGGCTGCTCCTTTTTGTGTTTGGGCTGGGCTGGTTCTACATTCACCCCCTCTGCCACCTTCTGACCCAGCGGTACCCCTCTAGCTCCCAGCTCCTTAGGGGCCTCCACTGCTGCCCCTGCCACCATCGCCTGTTTAGGGACCTCCTGGACTACTTCCTTGGGGATCACGGGGGGAACCACTTTGGCAACCTGCTCTTCGGCACTCTTCTCCACAGGGAGGACCTCATTCTGGGGCTGAACGTGAGGCTCGGCCCCTCCAGCCTGTAGAGCTCCAGCTCCTGCTCCTTTGGGCTCCCCGGCGTCTGAGGCCAGGGCAGGGCCATCTTGAGCTGGGTCTTTGGGCTTGGATGCTTCCCCATCCTCCTGTACCCCCTTCTCTGCATCAGCCTCTGGAGCTCCATCTGATGTAACACAAGATACAAAGATCGTTATCTACTTTCCCTTTTACTGACCTAACATTTCAATTACTCATACTCAGCACTTAGACATGCATCAGAATATAAACTTAGAACATGTATGAGAGTGCACACACTGAGCACGAGTGAGTATGTGTGTGTGTGTGTGTGTGTGTGTGTGTACCTGGCTTTTTGGGGTGCATCTCCTGGTGCTGTTCCTGTATGACAGCCAGTAGTTTCTCCTGCTGGTCCAACAGTCTCTTCTGCTGCTCTTGCTGCTCCTTTATAACCTGCAGCAGAACGGCATGGTCCAACTGACCCTCTACATGGGGGGAGACAGGGTTAGAACATACAAACCCCACACAGGGGCAGTCAATTACAAGTGAGAGGGATTGGAATGTACCAAATGACACAGGGATTGGGTGAAGTTCATAAATCATACAGTGCATTCAGAAAGTATTCAGACCCCTTCCCTTTTTCCACATTTTGTTACGTTACAGCCTTATTCTAAAATGGATTAAATAAAGAAATGTCCTCATCAATCTACACACAATACCCCATAATGACAAAGCGAAGACCTTTTTGAATTTTTTTTGCAAATGTGTTAAAAATACAAAACAGAAATACCTTATTTACATAAGTATTCAGACCCTTTGCTATGAGACTCGAAATTGAGCTCAGGTGCATCCTGTTTCCATTGATCATCCTTGAGATGTTTCTACAACTTGATTGGAGTCCAACTGTGGTCAATACAATTGATTGGACATGATTTGGAAAGGCACACACCTGTCTATATAAGGTCCCACAGTTGACAGTCCATGTCACAGCAAAAACCAAGCCATGAGGTTGAAGGAATTGTCCGTAGAGCTCCGAGACAGGATTGTGTCGAGGCACAGATCTGGGGAAGGCTATCAAAAAATGTCTGCCGCATTGAAGGTCCCCAAGAACACAGTGGCCTCCATCATTCTTAAATGGAAGAAGTTTGGAACCACCAAGGCCGCCCGGCCAAACTAAGTATTCGGGGGATAAGGACCCGATGGTCACTCTGACAGAGCTCTAGATTTCCTCTGTGGAGATGGGAGAACCTTCCAGAAGGACAACCATCTCTGCAGCACTCCACCAATCAGACCTTTATGGTAGAGTGGCCAGACGGAAGCCACTCAGTAAAAGGCACATGACAGCCCACTTAGAGTTTGCCAAAAGGCACCTAAAGACTCTCCGACCATGAGAAACAAGATTCTCTGGTCTGATGAAACCAAGATTGAACTCTTTGGCCTGAATGCCAAGCGTCACGTCTGGAGGAAACCTGGCACCATCCCTACGGTGAAGCATGGTGGTGGCAGCATCATGCTGTGGGGATGTTTTTCAGCGGCAGGGACTGGGAGACTAGTCAGGATTGAGGGAAAGATGAACAGAGCAAAGTACAAAGATCTTTGATGAAAACCTGCTCCAGAGCGCTCAGGACCTCAGACTGGGGTGAAGGTTAACCTTCCAACAGAACAACAACCCTAAGCACACAGCTAAGACAACGCAGGAGTGGCTTCGGGACAAGTCTCTGAATGTCCTTGAGTGGCCCAGCCAGAGCCCAGATTTGAACTCGATCGAACATCTCTGGAGAGACCTGAAAATAGCTGTGCAGCGACACTCCACATCCAACCTGACAGAGCTTGAGAGGATCTGCAGAGAAGAATGTGAGAAACTCCCCAAATACAGGTGTACCAAGCTGTAATCGCTGCCAAAGGTGCGTCAACAAAGTACTGAGTAAAGGGTCTGAATACTTACATAAATTTCTACAAACCAGTTTTTGCTTTGTCATTATGAGGTATAGTGTGTAAATTGATGAGGAAAAATAAACAATTTCATCAATTTTAGAATAAGGCTGTAACGTAACAAAATGTGGAAAAAGTCAAGGGGTCTGAATACTTTCTGAATGCTCTGTATATTGGGCAGTATTGGTATCTACATCGAAGGGAGAAGGGGCATTTGATTTATCCAGACAAACAATATAGGGATGTGTTTAAGGAGGAGGGATAACTCAGTCAAACTAATGTAGGATATGGTTGCTACAAACAAGATGTAAGCAGTTTAGACAAGGTGGGGGGTACTGTGTGAGAGGGTGAGGTGGGTTAGGACTTGGGGGTTATGGCCAATTGGGTTGGGGGGGGCAGATGTAGAAAATATTCCTAAACTGGGTACTACACATCTCTAGACTTCATTAGTTGGTTGAGTGACTAGATGTGAACACAGTAGGAGAGAGACAGACAGACAGACAGATGGATAGAGAAAGAAGTAGAGAGGAGGAGTTCATACCTGCAACCAGCTTTTTTATCACTGTGACAGGAGCCCGGCATAGAGGAAAGAAAAGGAGCGAGAAAGAGAGAAAAGAAAGAGTGAGTCAGAAGAGAGAAACCAAAAACGTGCTGCGGAGTGTCCTGAGTGAATCAAGCCAAAGAGCGAGAAAGAAAGTAATGAGAGAATCCCGCATCAAAAAAAACCAGCAAAAAGCTCTCAACCAGCTAACAGCTTGTTGCCAAAGACACACTTGAGATCGAAAGAGAGAATGAGAGAGAGAGAATCAGACAGACAAAGAAGCAGTACAAGTCAGAGAGAGAAAGAATACAGATACAGACATAGTACAGACATAGCATGGAATGGTATATCCAATATAACAAGAGGCTGCTGACGGGAGAACGGCTCATAATAATGTTTGGAACGGCGCAAATGGAATGGCATCAAACACCTGGAAACCATGTGTTTGATGCATTGGATACCATTCCACTTATTATGCTCCAGTCATTACCACGAACCCGTTCTCCCAAATTAAGGTGCCACCAACCTCCTGTGATCCAATATAACAAGAATTTATCATAAATCCATCCATTCTGCCTGTCTGTCTATGAGCTGCTAACCCTGGTCCTTGATCTGTACTTCAATTCCTTACTCCTTCTTACTCCTCCACTTACCATCCATCTTGTCCTCCACTCCTCCCTCCTTCCCTTCCTTTGCTTCTGGAGCAGCAGCCACCTCCATTGCCCCAGGAACCACTGCTTCAGGAACTGTAGCACAGGGTCAAAGGTCCACAGGGTCAAAGGTCGGGTGATGTCAAACATCTACAGCCAATCAAATCACAGAGCATCTGAGTTGATTGAATGTTCTGGATAAAGACCAGTCATACTCACGTTTCCCAGCAGCATCTGGGGCTTTGGCCGAATCATCAACCAGCTCCTGCTCAGCCACCACATCCTTCACAGCAAGCACCTCTTTCACTGGGGCAAGTTTCTCCACTTCCTTTAGGGGCGGGACTTCCTGTTTCTTCCCTGCCCCCGGGTCAGGCTTCTCCAGCACCTCATTGAACTGCATCTTGGCCTCTTCCACTTCCTCTTTTTTCACTACCACGGGAAGTTTCTCCTCTTTCTCTCCTCCCTCAGACTGCCCCTCTTCCTCTTCTCCTCCAGCTGCAGGTTGGTTCTTCTCCTCCTCCAGCTCGGCGTCATTCTTCCTCTTCTCTATCTGGACCTCGTCGTGGGGGATGGGTGGCTCGTGCCGATGGGCCAACCCGTCAGGTACCGCCACACCTGCAGGAAGGGAGGAGGGGGAATACACACAGGTACAACACATGGGGTTTCAGGTGTTGCTGTAAATAGCATTCCTGACTTTTAAAAAACCTATAGATTACTGGTTTTCTTGTCTGTTCTAGTCTAGTGGATTCTGCCTGGTTCTAACGGGTTCTCCCTGGTTCTAAAAGGTTCTCCCTAGTTTCTAAAGGGTTCTCCCTGGTTCCGTACCTGCGTCGGGGCGGTCCAGCTGTACCTCCTCCTTCTTTTTCATGTCTGCTACTCCTTGTTCAGGTCCTTTGATCTGGGGGGGCTCAGCCGGCTCCTGCTGTCTCTCTACTGGATGGACTGACTCTACTGCAGCAGGGGCCTTAGGCCTCTCCACCAACAGAGGCTTCACCTCAGGCGGTTTCACTACCACTGGCTTCTCTACTGCTGGGAGGGAGAGAGGGGAGAATGGGGGGGGGAGAAATGGAGAGATAGAGAGAGAGAGAGAATGCAGTACATAATTTTAACATACAGTGCATTCAGAAAGTATTCACACCTCTTGACTTTTTCCACATTGTTATGTTACAGCCTTATTCTAAAATGGATGAAATAGTTTTCCCCCCTAAATAATCTACACACAATACCCCATAATGACAAAGCAAAAACAGGTTTTTAGATTTTTTTGCAAATGTCTATAAAAAAAAAAAAAACGGAAATATAACATTTACATAAATATTCAGACCCTTTACTCAGTACTTTGTTGAAGCACCTTTGGCAGCGATTACAGCCTCAAATCTTCTTTGGTATGACGCTACAAGCTTGTTACACCTGTATTTGGGGAGTTTCTCCCATTATTCTCTGCAGGTCCTCTCAAGCACTGTCAGGTTGGATGGGGAGCGTCGCTGCACAGCTATTTTCAGGTCTCTCCAGAGATGTTAGATTGGGTTCAAATCCGGGCTCTGGCTGGGCCACTCAAGGACATTCAGAGACTTGTCCCGAAGCCACTGCTGCGTTGTTTTGGCTGTGTGCTTAGGGTCGTTGTCCTGTTGGAAGGTGAACCTTCACCCCATTCTGAGGTCCTGAGCACTCTGGAGCAGGTTTTCGTCAAGGATCTTTCTGTACTTTGCTCCGTTCAACTTTCCCTCGATTCTGACTAGTCTCCCAGTCCCTGCGGCTGAAAAACATCCCCACAGCATGATGCTGCCACCACCATGCTTCACCATAGGGATGGTGCCAAGTTTCCTCCAGAAGTGACACTTGGCATTCAGGACAAAGAGTTTAATCTTGGTTTCATCAGACCAGAGAATCTTGTTTCTCATGGTCAGAGTCCTTTAGGTGCCTTTTGGTAAACTCCAAGCGGGCTGTCATGTGCCTTTTACTAAGGAGTGGCTTCCGTCTGGCCACTCTACCATAAAGGCCTGATTGGTAGAGTGCTGCAGAGATGGTTGTCCATCTGGAAGGTTTTCCCATCTCCACAGAGGAACTCTGGAGCTCTGTCAGAGTGACCATCGGGTTCTTGGTCACCTCCCTGACCAAGGCCCTTCGCCCCCGATTGCTCAGTTTGGCCGGGCGGCCAGCTCTAAGAAGAGTCTTGGTGGTTCCACATTTCTACCATTGAAGAATGATGGAGGCCACTGTGTTCTTGGGGACTTTCAATGCTGCAGATGTTTTTTGTACCCTTCCCCAGATACAATCCTGTCTCTGAGCTCTACGGACAATTCCTTCGACCTCATGCACTGTCAACTGTGGGACCATATATAACAGGAGTGTGCCTTTCCAAATCATGTCCAATCAATTGAATTTACCACAGGTGGACTCCAAGTTGTAGAAACATCTCAAGGATGATCAATGGAAACAGGATGCACCTAACCTCAATTTCGAGTCTCATAGCAAAGGGTCTGAATACTTATGTTTTTTATTTTTAATAAATTTGCAAAGATTTCTGAAAACCTGTTTTTGCTTTGTCATTATGGGGTATTGTGTGTAGATTGATGAGGATTTGTATTTATTTAATCAATTTTAGAATAAGGCTGTAACATAACAAAATGTGGAAAAAGTCAAGGGGTTTGAATACTGTCCGAATGCACTGTATATACCAATATTTGTGTGTGAGAGATCCACTAGATGGCAGCAGAGATCTAAACTATAAAGAGATGCAACACTAATGCTGACATACAATAACTGCTACAGTACAGTCTAAGAGAGAATAGAGAGAAAATGACGAGAGGGTACAGAGACCCTTCCTTCTGTTCTACTGGCCTCACTAATCTGCAATAAACAGGAAACAGGTGTGGAAGGAAGTGGGCGACTATTAGTCAGAGGGCGGGAGAGAGAGATAAAGAAAGAAAGAGAGATAGAAAGAGGAGAATGGAAGGCAGGATGGGGCTGTGTGAACTGTCCTTGCTCTGATGTGTGGAGCTCTTTCTCATTTTTACGATCCCCCTCTTCTCCTCTTACCCAAACCCCTCAAGCCCCTAACCCCCCGAACCCCCGCCCTCCTGTCTCACTCATCTCTCCCCTCATTTCCTCTGTCTGTACCTCTCAACCCCCTCCCTCCATACCCCCTCCATCTTATCCCCCTGTTACAGGAAAGAGCTAGCAGGCATTTCAGCTGCCCAAGAGAGGGGGAAAGAGGGAGGAGGAGAGGGGGAGAGAGGGAGGAGGAGAGGGGGAGAGAGGGGGAGGAGGAGAGGGGGAGATAAGGGGAAGATGAGAAACCACTGGAGTTTGAAGGGCATCATTCTGGCTCCATCAATGTCAAACGCTGCTTTTCTTAGATATTATCAAGTGGTTATCCTCTACCCCTGTCTGTCTAACTGTCTGTCAGTCAAAAACCCAATATATTCCCCCATTTATCCGCGATTCCATATTTCTTTGTTTTAAGATTGCTTTTACCTTTTGGCTCTAACTTGCTCTATATACTCTCACTTTTCTGCACCTCTCTCCAACACTGACATCAAAATGTGAACTTTGGAGTTTGGAGCATTGCAGATTTGGAACTGATTAGAATAGAATAACAAAGAACAGAATAGAATGGAAAGTTCACTCGACGATGGAACATTGCCTTTGGCTATAAGAGTAATACGGTCCGTACCATTCCGTAAATCAGGGACATCAGGAAGGACTCCAAAGATGGCACTCTTGTCAGCTGCAGGGGGAGGAGGGGCCTGCTTGGGGGTGGAGTCACTGGCTGAGATTGACAGCGTGGTGAAGGTGCTGACCAGCAGGATGCCTAACCCCACCCATAACACCAACTATAGAGGGAGAGAGAGAGAAAGATTATATAATAATAAAATATGCCATTTAGCAGACGCTTTTATCCAAAGCGACTTAGTCATGTGTGTATACATTTTACTTATGGGTGGTCCCAGGATTCGAAACACACTATCCTGGCGTTGCAAGCGCCATGCTCTATCAACTGAGCTACAGGGGACCACCAGAGAGAGAGAGCTAGAGTGAAAGAGAGAGCGAGAGAGGGATGTTGGTCAGTGATGGGGTTAGTAGGACTAGAGTGTGTTTGTGTGTGTGTGTGTGTGTGTGTGTGTGTGTGTGGTACCTGTGCGGTGAGTCCATTCTTCTGTATCTTTCTGTAGATGAGGGCAGGGCAGATGAAGCAGATGAGGGAGCCCATGGTGGCTCCAGTCAGACCCAGGATGGTCTCCACTACAGAGATAAGAGCATAGAGAAACATTTAGTCACACACATACAATCTCTTGCCTGGCTAAAGCGACATTCTCTAGCTGACAGTGTACCACGTGGGTCTGTGCATCAGCCAAGCTAACAGTCCTCATCCTTCTCATCCCACTCTCCTCTTCCTGCACCTCCACACCATACATACAGGGACAGGGCTTAGCATTCCTGTTCAATCAGAAGTCAGAATCTCCACATGTAGCTTAAGAAACAAGGTTCATGAAATTAATAACTTGCTAGTAACAGATGACATTCATATTCTGACTATCTCTGAAACTCACTTACACAATACCTTTGATGATACAGTGGTAGCAATACAAGGTTATAATATTTACAGAAAAGACAGAAATGCCAGTTGTGGAGGTGTTGCTGTTTATATTCAGAACCACATTCCTGTAAAGATTAGAGAGGATCTCATGTTAAATACTGTTGAAGTAATATGGCTACAGGTTAATCTGCCTCACCTAAAGCCCATTCTTGTGGGAAGCTGCTATAGACCACCAAGTGCTAACAGTCAGTATCTGGATAACGTGTGAAACGCTTGATAATGTATGTGATATCAACAGAGAGGTATATTTTCTGGGTGATTTAAATATTGACTGGCTTTCATCAGGCTGCCCACTCAATAAAAAGCTTCCAACTGTAACCAGTGCCTGCAACCTGGTTCAGGTTATCAGTCAACCTACCAGGGTAGTTACAAACACCACACGAATGAAATCATCAACATGTATTGATCACATCTTTACTAATGCTGCAGAAATGTGCTTGAAAGCAGTATCCAGATCCATCGGATGTAGTGATCACAATATAGTAGCCATATCTAGGAAAACCAAAGTTCCAAAGGCTGGGCCTAATATAGTGTATAAGAGGTCATACACTAAGTTTTGTAGTGATTCCTATGTTGTTGATGTGAACAATATTTGTTGGAGTCAGTGGTGTGTAATGAGGAGTAAACAGACGTTGCACTTGACACATTTATGAAATTGCTTATCCCAGTTACTAATAAGCATGCACCCATTCAGAAAACGACGAGGAAACTGTTAAATCCCCATAGCTTGATGAGGAATTCAAAAATTGTATGGTTGAGAGGGATGAGGCAAAAGGAATGGCAAATAAGTCTGGCTGCACAACCGATTGGCAAACGTATTGCAAATTGAGAAATCATGTGACTAAAAGAAGAAGAAACTACACTATGAAACAAAGATAAATGACAAAGAATGATAGTAAAAAGCTTTGTAGCACCTTCAATGAAATTTTGGGAAAAAAGGCAAACTCAGCTCCATCATTCATTGAATCAGATGGCTCATTCATTACAAAACCAACTGATATTGCCAACTACTTTAATAATTTTTTCATTGGCAAGATTAACTGACTTTGGCATGACATGCCAGCAACAAAACGCTGACACTACACATCCAAGTATATCTGACCAAATTATGAAAGACAAGAATTGTAATTTTGAATTCCGTAAAGTGAGTGTGGAAGAGGTGAAAAAATGATTGTTGTCTATCAACAATGACAAGCCACCGGGGTCTGACAACATGGATGGAAAATTACTGAGGATAATAGCGGACGATATTGCCACTCCTATTTATCATATCTTCAATTTAAGCCTACTAGAAAGTGTGTGCCCTCATGCCTGGAGTGAAGCAAAAGTCATTCCGCAACCTAAGAATAGTAAAGCCCCCTTTACTGGCTCAAATACTCAAATAGCTGACCAATCAGCCTGTTACCAACCCTTAATAAAGTTTTGGAAAAAATTGTGTTTGACCAGGTACAATACTATTTTACAGTAAACAAATTGACAACAGACTTTCAGCACGCTTATAGGGAAAGATATTCAACAAGCACAGAACTTACACAAATGAATGATGATTGGCAGAGAGAAATTGATGATAAAAAGATTGTGGGGGCTGTTTTGTTAGACTTCAGTGTGGCTTTAGACATTATCGATCATGATCTGCTGCTGGAAAAACGTATGTCTATTAGAACTATTAGAACACAGAGTGTGTTCTTTAATGGAAGCCTCTCCAACATAATCCAGGTAGAATCAGGAATTCCCCAGGGCAGCTGTCTAGGCCCCTTCCTTTTTTCAATCTTTACTAACGACATGCCACTGGCTTTGAGTAAAGCAAGTGTGTAAATGTATGCAGATGACTCAACACTATACACGTCAGCTACTACAGCAACTGAAATGACTGCAACACTTAACAAAGAGCTGCAGTTAGTTTCAGAATGGGTGGCAAGGAATAAGTTAGTCCTAAATATTTCAAAAACTAAAAGCATTGCATTTGGGACAAATCATTCACTAAACCCTAAACCTCAACTAAATCTTGTAATAAATAATGTGGAAATTGAGCGAGTTCAGGTGACTAAACTGCTTGGAGTAACCCTGGATTGTAAACTGTCATGATCAAAACATATTGATACAACAGTAGCTAAGATGGGGAGAAGTATGTCCATAATAAAGCGCTACTCTACTTTCTTAACAGCACTATCAACAAGGCAGGTCCTACAGGCTCTAGTTTTGTCACACCTGGACTACTGTTCAGTTGTGTGGTCAGGTGCCACAAAGAGGGTCTTAGGAAAATTGCAATTGACTCAGAACAGGGCAGCATGGCTGGCCCTTGGATGTACACAGAGAGCAAACATTAATAATATGCATGTCAATCTCTCCTGGCTCAAAGTAGAGGAGAGATTGACTTCATCACTACTTGTATTTGTGAGAGGTATTGACATGTTGAAAGCGGGGAGCTGTCTGTTTAAACGACTAGCACACAGCTCAGACACCCTCATGCATACCACACAAGACATGCCACCAGAGGTCTCTTCACAGTCCCCAAGTCCAGAACAGACTATGGGAGGCGCACAGTACTACATTGAGCCATGACTACATATAACTCTATTCCACATCCGGTAACTGATGCAAGCAGTAGAATCAGATTAAAAAACAGAGAAAAATACACCTTATGGAACAGCGGGGACTGTGAAGCAACACAAACATAAGCACAGACACATGCATACACACACACACACACACGATAACATACGCACTATACACACACGTACACATGGATTTTGTGTTGAGATATGTGGTAGTGGAGTATGGGCCTGAGGGCACACAGTGTGTTGTGAATTCTGTAATGAATGAATGGTAATTTAATTTTTTTTATAACTGCCTTAATTTTGCCTGACACCAGGAAGAGCTGCCTTGGCAGCAGCTAATGGGGATCCAAAATAAATACAAATACCATGTTCCAACCCATCTGGCCTATGGCCCAGTCCCAAATGATTCACAAACCTACACCCCCCTAATCTAATCTAGAACAAGCTTCACTTCCAGACCCTGTGTTTCAAGCCAGTACCAGAGCCATCCTCCTCCCGATCCAACCCCTCCCTCCCCTGGGCAGGTCTGTCTGGGCGCTGGGCCCAGGCCCCATCTCTCATCCTGGGGACCCAGACTATATTGTGTCCCTCAGATTTAGTGTCCGTTTCCCCCTGGAGTCCCTCCTCCCCCTTCCTCTCTATTAGCCTGATTAGATACACACACCCCAGCCAAACACAGCAGTGTGTGTGTCCCTACCCAAACACAACCCTAACTAATAGCCTTACCACACAAGATAAATAAAACATTCAAACTAACCCCAACCTTCACATCTAGATCATTATTACAGCACACAGACAACGGAGACCGCTAAAGAATAAGTGTGTGTTGTGGGGGTCTATGAACCAGAGGGGGTGTGTGTGTGTTGTGGGGGTCTATGAACCAGAGGGGGTGTGTGTGTGTTGTGGGGTCTTTGAGCCAGAGGGGGTGTGTGTGTGTTGTGGGGGTCTTTGAGCCAGAGGGGGTGTGTGTGTGTTGTGGGGGTCTATGAACCAGAGGGGGTGTGTGTGTGTTGTGGGGTCTTTGAGCCAGAGGGGGTGTGTGTGTGTGTTGTGGGAGTCTTTGAGCCAGAGGGTGTGTGTGTGTGTTGTGGGGGTCTATGAACCAGAGGGGGTGTGTGTGTGTTGTGGGGTCTTTGAGCCAGAGGGGGTGTGTGTGTGTTGTGGGGGTCTATGAACCAGAGGGGGTGTGTGTGTGTTGTGGGGTCTTTGAGCCAGAGGGGGTGTGTGTGTGTTGTGGGGGGCTTTGAGCCAGAGGGGGTGTGTGTGTGTTGCGGGGGTCTTTGAGCCAGAGGGGGTGTGTGTGTGTTGTGGAGGTCTTTGAGCCAGAGGGGGTGTGTGTGTGTTGTGGGGGTCTTTGAGCCAGAGGGGGTGTGTGTGTGTTGTGGGGGTCTTTGAGCCAGAGGGGGTGTGTGTCTATGAGGAAGGGAGAATAATAGCGCTATCTTCCTGTCTGTTCGTCCAGAGGAGATAAAAGTTAGAGATGTGATTTAAGGAGTGTGTTAGAGTGTGACAGTCACTGAGTCATAAACTCATATTCACACACGTCGTAAAAAGCTTGAGTTACAACACACACATAAAACAACATATGCACCTTAAAGGCCTGCAGACATACAAACATAAGAACAAACGAACAAGCGCGCACACACACGTGAACGCCTGCCCGCACGCACACACAAACACACACCATTGGGGATGAGGATGCCTCCCAGCATGGTTCCGAAGACAATGGCGAGGGTGATCATCTTAAAGCGAAGTGGAGGAATGTACCCCCCCGCAGCAAATGTCCCATCCTTCTGCTGAGAGGGAGAAAAAGAGGGAAGGAGAGAAAAGAGGACAGAGAGAAAGATTCATTATAACAGTATTCTACAGTAAAGCTCTTCCGGGTTAGGGAATGATAATATCTTATCACTATTTACTGAGTGTGTGTTAACCTGCATTTGTGTATAAAGTCACCTGTTGTTCGAACAGCATGGTGTTGATGGCCTGTCTACAGGGCAGTATCATCATGGGGAAGCCCACAGCCACTGACATCATGAAGCCCACGCGGATCATCTCTGTCACCAGGTTAGAAGGGAAGTTCATCAGAACGTTACCGGCTATGTCGTCAGTGAAACTGACGTAGCCAAAGAAGCCCACCTAGAGAGAGGAGAGGAGGGAAGGAAGGTAGGAGGGGAGGAAGGAGGGAAGGAAGGATGAGAGGAGGTTAGAGGGGAATATCAAAGTCCTAAATTCAAAAGTCACACACACCTAAACCATCATGCAGTATAGAACAACGTACTATGCGATGAAGACATCGAGACAGGAAGTGACATCATCAGCATGCACCACTCACCGTGATGTAGAAGGTGGTGACAATGTTGAGGGAGGTGGTGAAGATGGTGCTCATGCGTTTGATGGAAGGCTCGTCCAGACTGTCGTAGGTAGGCAACACCTGCCTGTAAACAAACAACCAGCCCACAAACTACAGCTGCCACATCAGACAGGACTAGTGAGGTCAAGTTTCAGGGCAAACTTTATAGTCTACTCGAAATGTCAAGTTTTAGTACAAACATTGTAGTTTGGTGAGAGGAGACCTAAGAGTCAACAGCTATCAACTGGGGATAATTCAATGTTTTGGGGGTTTTAAAGATCATAATCAAATCAAAATCTTATATTTGAATCAAAGAATAAGACATTGGTCAAGGCAAATTGGTCATGACAGGTTTAAAAGGTTTATTTATTTGACAGTTTAGATCTCTACTCATTATAGATGGTCAGATTGAACAGTGAGGATCAGCATTGGTATCATATCACATTAACACACATGGTATACAGATCTCAGCTAATTTCACAAAAAGGCAGTTGTGGTTTCCGTGAAGTGTGTGTGCGCGCGACACCGTGCATGCATGTGTATGTTCGTGCGATGCCATGCACAAGTGTATGTGTGTGTGAATGAGAGTGGGTCAGTCTGTGTGTCTGTGTGAATGAGAGTGGGTGAGTCTGTCTGTCTGTGTCTGTCTGTGTGTGTCTGTGTGTCTGTGTGTCTGTGTGTCTGTGTGTCTGTGTGTCTGTGTGTCAGTCAGTCAGTCAGTCAGTCAGTCAGTCAGAGACAGAGAGCGGTGCAGTAAAGTCCTGGTTATTATCTCTGAGAAACAAAGAAGCGACAGAACGGGCTGTCTGTCATCGAGCAGCACTTTAAAAGGGGAATTTACAGGCCTTCTATAACAGCTAGTGCTAGACCAGGGTTAGAGCATTATAAAGTTTATTGGCAGTCTTTTTTGCGCTCACTTTTGTGTGTGTGTGTGAGGGAAAAAGAGAGAAAGAGAGCGCATAACGTTACCGTCTCTCTCTACCGCATTCTCTCCATTTCATTCTATCCCTCTTTCTCTGATTTTTATGGCTGTGCAGCACTGTCCCACGGTGCTTTTCTTTGACACCTGTTTAAACTCAGGAATTATTCCATCTTATAGCTGAGCTCAAATAAAACAGCTTACTGGAACTAGACCTCAAACATATAGAGTACTGTACATTCTCTCAATATACCTCATTCCAATGCCAATGTTTTTTCATTCCATTTACAGTTTACACCATCTGTAAAATAGTCCAATGTATGTTTTCTCATTTGGTTTATACTGTCTGTATAACAGCGTTCAATACCTATTTATTTGAAATACTTATTGACGTCAAACTGAAACTAACGCCCTAGCATGTGTGGGTAGAGTGAAAGGCATTGTCTTCATATTGCTTATCTTGTTTGTTTGACTACACAGCAGTTTCACAGAGGGACATTTTCATTAGTTGTCCATTCTATGACTGCTCAGTTTTATAACTCTATAGTCTTGGCCTGGTTAATGGTGATATTAAGTCATGTTATAAATTAACGTAAACTGCTTTAATAAAAGGTAATAAAAAGCATATGTGTTGAAAGCTGTTTAATCAGTGTGTGAATACATTAGATGGCCGCCGTCCAGTGGTCTGATTAGTGGTTTGGCTGAAGCAGCATGGAGTCGAGCAGCCCTCCGCTCGCTGTCTGACCACTGGCCAACAGGGCCCTGCCAAATAACACTCATCACCGCTAGAGTGTGACTGGGACACACACACACACTAGGACAGGCCCATGTGTGCGTACACACACGTACGCACGCACACACACACACACAGGGTCAGGCGCACGCACACACAGTGATGAGAGTAGTGTTACCACAGTGGGATAATTATTAACATCTTGTTCCAGCCTCAGCACCAGTCAGCCTCACCCACCCCCCAATAAACCTCACCCAATCACCTCCAAAAAACTCACATCAAACTCCTTAAAGACACTTCATACATGCAAACCGCCAGCGTACGTACCAAAGTCAACCCCAAAATCTCAACACACAACCCAGTCCAACCCCAAACACACCCCTAACCCTCCCCCACCCAAAACCAGAATTGCCACCCCCTTTCCCTCCCAGGCACCATGGCAATGACAGAAGAGAGGAGGCAGCGACAGAACATGCGGATGGAGGTGAAGATGGAGGGATTGGAAGGAGGGAGGGATAGAGGGATGGGTGGATTATGCTGTTGAATTCCATGCTGTTACTGTCACTTGTCCACTCAAGCTTAACATCGTTGTCATCTATAGCCCACCAGGTGCCCTTAGAGAGTTTCTCAATGAGCTTGACACCTTGATAAGCTCATTTCCTAAACATGGCTCACCGCTCTTCATACTGGGCAACTTCAACCTCCCAACGTCTGCCTTAAATGAATTTATTTCCACCTCTTTCTTTCCCCTCCTTGCCTCTTTTGACATAACTCTTTCCCTGTCCCCTCCTACTCATAAGACAGGCAATATGCTTGACCTCATCTTTACTAGAGGCTGTTTTCCTACTAATCTCACTGCAACCCCCCTCCAGGTCTCTGATCACTACTTTGTTTCCTTTTCTGTCTCCATTTCCTCCAACCCTACCCACTCAGCCCCTACCCAGATAGTAGTGCGCCGTCGCAATCTTCTCCCCCTCTCTCCTCTTCTATCCTATCATCTCCCCTTCTGCTAAATCCTCCCTCCTGTCTCCTGATTCTGCCACTTTGACCCTACTCTCCTCTCCTTCTGCATCCTATGACTTGCACTGTCCCCTTTCCTCCCCGCCGGCTCGGCCCTCCCCTCCTGCCCCGTGGCTGAGTGACTCATTGCGAGTTTACAGAACAGGACTGCGGGCATGGAGGAAGTTAAACTTTTGGAGGACCCATCATCGACTTTGTCAACCACTTTGAAAAGAAGGTTGATGACATCCGCTCCTCATTCACTCAGCCTACTGAGTCCACTGATCCAACACACAGAACTACCCTACGCCTTGACCTCTTTCTCCCCTCACTCTCCAAATGAAATCCTGCGACTAGTGAGGTCCGGCCGCCCGACAACCTGCCTGCTTGACCCCATTCCCTCCTCCCTTCTCCAGACCATCTCTGGAGACCTCAGCTCATTCCTCACTTCCACCATCCCTGACCACTGGCGGGCCGAGCACGCCCCCATTCACATCGATGGGGCTGTAGTGGAGCGGGTCGAGAGCTTCAAGTTCCTCAGTGTCCACATCACTAAGGATCTATCATGGTCCAAACACACACCAAAACAAAGATATGAAGAGGGAACGACAACGCCTCTGAAAAGGTTTTGCATGGGCCGTCAGATCCTCAAAAAGTTATACAGCTGCACCATTGAAAGCATCTTAACTGGCTGCATCAACGCTTGGTATGGCAACTGCTTGGCATCGGACCGCAAGGCGCTACAGAGGGTAGTGGGTACGGCCCAGTATATCACTGGGGCCAAGCTCCCTGCCATCTAGGAGCTCTATACCAGGCGGTGTCAGAGGAAGGACAAAAAATGGTCACGGACTGCAGCCTCCCAAGTCATAGGCTCTTCTCTCTGCTACCGCATGGCAGGCGGAACCGATGCACCAAGTCTGGACCCAATAGGACCCTGAACAGCTTCTACCCCCAGGAAATAAGACTGCTAAATTGTTAGTTAAATAGTTCACCAAAGAGCTACCCAAACTAACTTTTTTTGACTCATCACATACGCTGCTACTGTTTAATACCTATCCTGTTGCATAGTCACTTTATTCATGTACATATCTACCTCAATTACCTCGTAGGAAGAAGCCACTGCTTCCAAAACCACCATAAAAAAAAGCCAGAATACGGTTTGCAACTGCACATGGGGACAAAGATCGTACTTTTTGGAGAAATGTCTTCTGGTCTGATGAAACAAAAATAGAACTGTTTGGCCATAATGACCATCGTTATGTTTGGAGGAAAAAGGGGGTACTTGCAAGCCAAATAACACAATCCCAACCGTGACGCACGGGAGAGGCAGCATCATGCTGTGGGGGTGCTTTGCTGCAGGAGGGACTGGTGCACTTCACAAAATAGATGGCATCATGAGGAAGGAAAATTACGTGGATATATTGAAGCAACATCTCAAGACATCAGTCAGGAAGTTAAAGCTTGGTCGCAAATGGGTCTTCCAAATGGACAATGACCCCAAGCATACTTCCAAAGTTGTGGCAAAATGGCTTAAGGACAACAAAGTCAAGGTGTTGGAGTGGCCATCACAAAGCCCTGACCTCAATCCTATAGAAAATGTGTGGGCAGAACTGAAAAAGCGTGTGCGAGCAAGGAGGCCTACAAACCTGACTCAGTTACACCAGCTCTGTCAGGAGGAATGGGCCAAAATTCACCTATCTTATTGTGGGAAGCTTGTGGAAGGCTACCCGAAACGTTTCACCCAAGTTAAACAATTTAAAGGCAATGCTACCAAATACTAATTGAGTGTATGTAAACTTCTGACCCACTGGAAATGTGATGAAAGAAATAAAAGCTTAAATAAAATCATTCTCTCTGCAATTATTCGGACATTTCACATTCTTAAAATAAAGTGGCGATCCTAACTGACCTAAGACACGGAATTATTACCAGGATTAAATGTCAGGAAATGTGAAAAACTGAGTTTAAATGTATTTGGCTAAGGTGTATGTAAACCTCCGACTTCAACTGTACATACTATATACATTTTATGGACACAGTCAATTTTACAATAATTATATTTTGTTTGTTTTTACTCCTGAACTTCCTCTACCCTCAACCTCTCTGATCATTTTCATGATGTCCATCCGGTTTGCTTCTATATGACATATCTTTCTAACTGTGCTCTTTCACAAAAGGTCTCAATCTATAACCTACAGTGCTTTGCAAAAGTATTCATCTATAACCTACAGTGCTTTGCAAAAGTATTCATCCCCCTTGGCGTTTTTCCTATTTTGTTGCATTACAACTTGTAATTAAATAGATTTTTATTTGGATTTCATGTAATAGACATACAGTGAGGGAAAAAGGTATTTGATCCCCTGCTGATTTTGTAAGTTTGCCCACTGACAAAGAAATGATCAGTCTATAATTTTAATGGTAGGTTTATTTGAACAGTGAGAGACAGAATAACAACAACAAAATCCAGAAAAACGCATGTCAAAAATGTTATAAATTGATTTACATTTTAATGAGGGAAATAAGTATTTGACCCGCTCTCAAGCAGACAGATTTCTGACTCTCAGGTGTCTTTTATACAGGTAACGAGCTGAGATTAGGAGCACACTCTTAAAGGGAGTGCTCCTAATCTCAGTTTGTTACCTGTATAAAAGACACCTGTCCACAGAAGCAAACAATCAATCAGATTCCAAACTCTCCACCATGGCCAAGACCAAAGAGCTCTCCAAGGATGTCAGGGACAAGATTGTAGACCTACACAAGGCTGGAATGGGCTACAAGACCATCGCCAAGCAGCTTGGTGAGAAGGTGACAACAGTTGGTGCGATTATT